TGTGATGTGGCGCTATATAAATAAAATTGAATTGAATTGAATTGAATTAATTCGGTAAGTTAAACAGAAAACAGAAAAAACAGAAAAAAAGTATAATAATATTTTCGAGACTTGATGGTTTAGACCAAGGAGGTTTCATGATAAGCTCTCTTAAGTGCCCCTATTTATCGGATTTGGAATCAGAATATGTTTATAATGCAATGTGAATGTGTATACATGTATATCTGTATAATTAGTTTCAGTGATGGGTTAGTAGCCAGATGATTGCCTTTCAGATATGCAGATCGACGTCTGTCTTGTTACTTGTGAGGTTTTTTCCTGTCTATTCAGCACTCTTTTGTATATACCTTCAACCCACCTTCAAGCCCTGCTCCCCACGGACACCTCCTCCCCCCATTGGACTTTTGGCACCTCCACCTGGACCTTGTATACCCTTCCCGGCTCCCTGGTACCTCCACCCTCCCTCAGGACCAATAAATCTCCTGTTATTCCGTTATCCAGCTGTTCTGCATTTGTTGTTGGGTCCAGTCCTCCCTTATTCCGTAACATAAGTATAAGTTACCACTTGTATAAAGTCACTGATAAACACCTCATGTCTTTGCCATATCCTGCAACTGCCCCCATGATGGTGAGAAATGAGTTAGAGGATGCATATCTGTAAGTGTGTTGAGAGCCAAAGGCAACGTGTGCACTTCCACGGGCAGGAAAATAATAGTTTTGGACCCTGAAGCCAAAACAAGCCAACCAAAAGATTAATTACATGCACGCACAGACTGATCTCAAAACTATGAAATAAAAAAAAGTTTTAAAAAAGTCCTGACAGGCCTGTAACAGTGTTTTGTGTGACTGTAATCAAAAGTTGAAAAGTTTGACAGTCTGCAGAGTCAACACATCTTGTATGGAAGTTAGGGGGGAAACTAACAGGCTAGAGATTCTCCTTTTTTTTTTTTTTTCTTCATGAGTAAAACTAAGACTATGAAAATGGACATGGTGTGTCCATCTCTTTATACTGTGCAGAACATATATTGTCTTGTAGTTATTTGAGTTATAACAGTTTCAGCCCCTTACACATGATCTCATTTCGTGAGCTAAGAATCCTTCTGACCCGAACTGTCATATATTGATAAAGGAGTCTATAAACATGTTTTACTTATTATATCTGACATAGCAAAAATACTGATTTACTGATTAGGCTACCTCATAAAACAGAAAAATAACTTACCTTTGAAAAATAAATAGTTGAACTAGAGCTGATAATTGTAGGTATCATCTATGACAACACACTTTTCATTTCAACCCATTTCAGCAATAAAACTAAATCAATACTGACTCAATATACTGACATCCAGGGGCGTTACATTTTCTACCAGTACGGTGACTTGGTTGATCAAGATGTTGTGGCTTTACGCACTTTATGTGCATCTCTGTGTATCTTCTATGGGTTAAACCAAGTTGGAATTGTGTAGAGGGCCATTAAGAAATGCTATTAAAACAACATACTTCCTTTATTTCACACAAGGAATTGGAATTAAAATTAAGCTTTTATGAAAACTAATATGCATCATTTAGTTTTTGATGGATCTTTTATAAATAGACCCATGAAAGATTCTAAAAAAGATTCTCTGTTTCTGTTTTTCTGAACTGTTCTCTGGCAGTGACAGGAAACAGCATGACCCGTTTTATCCGCATTAAACGAAGATGAAAGTTTCTTAGAAACAAACTGTATGAACTAAAACCGCATAAAACTATATACAAGAACTCATATGTACATACTCAAAAACAATTGGGTATGGCATTACAAATATTTTTAAATGAAAATAGCCTGAAATATGCAATAAAAGTGAATATCTTATTGTGAAAGTTGCACCATGAAATACTTGACTCTCTTACTCACTCAGAGAATCACAAGTGGTATCTAATGCTTACCTGGGTTGAACTTACTGTAACCTGTAACTTTTGTAATGCATAATACATTAACCACTCAGTCCAGAGAAGCACGGCTGTTTAGCTTCAGGCTCAATAACAGACTGAGCAGAAGGAAACAAGGTGTAGAAAGAAATTCAAATGTACATCCTGACATTCCAGCACAGATCAGTCGACAAGCCAACACACATTCTGCGTCTATGGGCTGAATGTTTATACAGACAGTTGGTAGAAAGAAAATATTCAGTCACGACTGACAAAGAATTTGAATCTCTTATCTTGGCATGAAATTAGAAGCTACAAGTTTCTAATGCAGCAAATAAACAAGTTTTTGCTCTGTGAAGATATATTTTATTCTACAGTCTGATGGTACATATCCTTTTGTTTTAGAGCTAGTAGTCACTGGCTCCTGTGCAACCCCTAGTGGTTGTCTTAATGTCTGTGTTTAGGCCTCAATGGTATGACAGCAGCAGCTTTGAGCAAGCATATCATTTTATTTCCAGCTATCAACCCAAGCCATTCTCTAGCAGTGTGGGATTTTGTACTGTAATTGTATCTAATCTAATCTCTAGAGCAATCTTTTTCTTTTCTTCTTTTTTTTTTTTTATCACAGAGGTAACACCAATTGAACAATATGATTCGATGAGCAAAGCAGCCACTTGCTCCCCCGTGAAATGTAACTTACTGGTTTGATAAAAAAAGAAGCATAACAGACTTAAGAAAGAGGCCTCACAGACATAAAAGTGGCTGCTGGTTTACTTAATAGCACTGGTGAAAATAATTCTGGCATGGCAGCAGAGCATACAAAACAGTATTCTCTACTTTTTGTATCTTACTCAGGGACCTCTCTCTGCATGCATTTTTACCAATATCCTGGTAACCTGAGATGATCTTATACTGATACTGTAGATATTTAAGCCTTGAAAACTTAAGGTAACACTTAGCCAGAGCTTAGCAGGCTGGGTACTCTGGCTTTCTCCTTCCTTGGCTGAAAACCCCCCCACAAAAGATAAAACATGCAGGTTAGGTTAATTGAACACTTGATTAAACCCAACATGCCTGTTTTTTAACAGTTGGAGGAAAGCTGAGTACCTGCGGATTTCCCACACATACACAGAGAGAAGATGCAAAGCCATGATTCAGCTATACCTAAAAACCCTTTGAGTTCCATATTAGCTTAGACCACACACTGAACTGATTACATACTTGTCAATACTTAACCGGCAATTTTTATCTAAAATATTATAATTTTCTTCAGTTACAGCTTATTGTTTACCCAGTCCCCTTTAAAACTCAGTTCTGTGATAAGTGGCATATTAAATCGTTATGAAGATGAACCGTTTTCTTGGGTTATCTTTTTTTTTTTGTAAATGTTTCTTGGTTACCTCAGCCAGGAGAGACCTTCCTCTGTTAATAGATAGCTTATTAGCAGTCTTTTAGGCATTTATAATGGCCATTATTTGTATTTTCTACTTTTCTGAATATAGAATGCTTACACTTTACAATCCAAACAATTCCATAGGACAAAAAATAGGTCAAAACAGCATCTTTAACAGTACAAGGGATTCCTAAGAAGCATCATTGACACTGGAGCAGTACTGTTTTTCCAACAGCTAAATACAAAATAAAATATGTTAATTTGCTTTAGACTGGGTATGCTTTTGGGCATGTTCCAGAGGGCTCCTTATACAACAGAAATGTGTTTTCACCTAGTTAAAATCAGTGCATTGTTTCTTCCTCCTCCTTTTCCGCTTCGACGTGTCGCAGGTCGATGACGTAGCACGTTCCTGTTTACGGTAATCCGCTAATTGAAAGAAAGATGCGGCAGGCAGGACTGCAGGAGCAGGAGTAGTTATTCGCAGAAAATTGGAATATATCGCTCGCAGGATGACCAACAGAACGTCTTATTTCTATGACCCAGATGTGGGCAACTTCCACTATGGTGAGTTGGATGACGGCGGTCAACTTATCTAGAATAAGGCTTGATGCTATCGCAAACTAGCTCATAAGCTAACAGTTCCATGGAGGGACAAATATTTTTTTCTTATTTTCATGTAATTCGCAGTGCCCCGAGAGTCCGTCATACACAATACTATACTATAATTTGTGCGTCGTGTTTACTTGATACGATATTGTAGTTTCCTTGAGTGGCTAGCTGTTTGTTTACGAGACAGTTTGTTGGATTTGAGGCTACAGTGACAGTTTAGTAGTATCTTGATTTTATTGCAGGGGATTGATCTTTACGTAGCATTAAACAAACGAAGTACGTTTCACACAGTAAATCTCTATGATTATAAACACTTAATTTTTTTAAACTTTAAAGATGAAAATAATGAGATAATGATGCCTGTCGTCATTATTTATTTGTCATGCAAATAATGTTAAGCCTTTTCATAAATGTGTTAGTATTTGTACATGAACGTTAATGATAATGATTTTGTTGATACTTTATTATTTAGCAGTAGGCAGTGTCAGCCACTCTTCTTTTTGCTGTTTTTCTTTGTTTTACATTATTTTGTTGGTTTCCAGAAAATAATAGAAAAGCAACAATCTCACTGGGCTTTATAGCTCACAATTTGCCTTAGAATTAGACTTTAACTCCCCCCAAAAAAGGTTTTAATTTTTGAACACGTAAAAAAAAAAGTAATTGAGTGAGATGGACATTCTTGCCATTTTTTCAGACCATGATTTTCTTTTTTATGTTCAATCCTGCTCATCTCTGGGTGTGTTTGAAGATTATATGATTGATTTAAAGTGAATCTAAATTATGAGGGTTTACTTGTAAAACTGGAGCTGAAAGCACTGGAGGAACGGACAGGATGAATTAGATCTACGATGGAGGGAGATTCTGCTCATGGACGACTACATAACCTGTTGATTTTCTTTCCCGGTTAGGTACCGGCCACCCCATGAAGCCCCACCGCTTGTCTCTCACTCACAGCCTGGTGCTGCACTACGGACTGTACAAGAAAATGATGGTAATCCTCGCAGACTCACGGCCCGCTAAAGCTTTCCACACTGCGTTAAACCACAACTTCTGTCTTGCTTCTTAGGTGTTCAAACCCTACAAAGCCTCACAGCACGACATGTGCCGGTTCCACTCTGAAGACTACATAGACTTCCTGCAGAAGGTCAGCCCCAACAACATGCAGGGCTTCACCAAGAGCCTCAACGCCTTCAACGTGGGAGACGACTGGTGAGCTCCAAAGGGCCACTGTTTCTTTTTTTTTCCCCTCTACCTCACGGGCTCATCCGTCACACCACTTAACGAACCAACTGTTTGTTTGTTTGTTTGTTTCAGCCCTGTGTTTCCGGGACTGTTTGAGTTCTGTTCAAGGTACACAGGCGCATCTTTACAGGGAGCCACGCAGCTCAACCATAAGGTAACGCACAACCGAATCATTTGTGCTTCACGATTGGAAAGAGGCAAATAAAAAGTGTTAGAGCCATGTTGCTATTTTGAATATTAGGGAATATAATTTAGAATATAGGAATTTCTTTATTTAGATTTTTTCATTTTTGGTTTGTTTATTTAATGAAAGAAATGTTTATTGTAAGTTTAGAGTAATTTAACCGTCACTTAGATTTGGGACTTCTAATTTGATTGCGTGCGTAAAAGAAGACGCATCCTGAGAACTGAAGTAGCTGTGGAAGGAGCCAGACGGACTTGAGAAGTACGGATGCATATAGTTTTTTAACCATGCTCGCTGTGTAATTAGGGTTTTGGGACATTGTATTTGAAACCACTTTTACTGTTAAACCTTTTTATTATTAGATAAAGATTTTTTGTTTATGAAGAACCCAGTTTGCTGGCGTCCATTCTTTTCAAAACTGCTTCACGAATGACACAGATATTGGATCTGCTGCCATGACAAAAAGGACACTTGTAACAGATTCTTTATTCAATTTCTAATTAGTTCCAAAACCCTCCTTATGGTTATGTATGTTTTGGTAGAAAAAAAAACACATTTCTTTGTTATTTAACTGAAATGGTTTCTTCCTCTGTACCTTCATAAATACCTAAAAAAAAAAATTAAAAAAAAATCAGTGTGTGATAAATACAGTCCTGCAGAGTGTGTAGTGTGTGAAGCTCCACACTGACCTCAGACGCCTTGTGTGAACTCCTGAAGAATCCCGCAGGGGGCAGGAGCCTTTGAAAACCATCAGATATTAAAGTATCTGGGGTATCTACGGATAGGCAGATGCTGATTCTATTCTTTCTCCGCAGATCTGTGACATCGCCATCAACTGGGCCGGAGGTCTGCATCACGCCAAGAAGTTCGAGGTAAGGCCGCCACACTCTTGTCCGTCCTGCTTAAGACCTGGCTCGTTGTTTCCGTAGTTACAAGCGTTTCCCTTTGTGTCGGCAGGCGTCCGGGTTCTGCTACGTCAACGACATCGTCATCAGTATCCTGGAGCTCCTTAAGTAAGAGGCCCCCCCCCCTGGATGGAAGCCGGCCGTGTTTGGGTGTCTTAAGCTCTGCCGCTCTCTGTTCCAGGTACCACCCTCGGGTGCTGTACATTGACATAGACATCCACCACGGCGACGGTGTCCAGGAAGCCTTTTACTTGACGGACCGTGTCATGACCGTGTCCTTCCACAAATACGGGAACTACTTTTTCCCAGGGACAGGTGAGCGGCGTTCGGCCTCTTGAGCTTGGATTTTTGTCTGGCAAGAGGCACGTGAAACCTGATCACGTGTGTTTGTGTGTGTGTGTGTGTGTGTGTGTCCTGCAGGCGACATGTACGAGGTGGGAGCCGAGAGCGGCCGGTACTACTGCCTCAACGTGCCTCTCAGAGACGGCATTGACGACCAGAGTGAGTACAAGGACCTGTGTGCATGTAGTGCTGCCAGTTTGTGCCCCAGTCCTCACAAAAGTCTGCGTGTGTGTGTGTGTGCGCGGGTTTCAGGCTACAGACAGCTATTCCAGCCGGTTATCAAGCAGGTGGTGGACTTCTACCAGCCCACCTGCATCGTCCTGCAGGTCAGTCAGAAGAACCTGTGGTGTGTGATCTACTCTGTGCGCATGTCCTAGTTGGATTTTGTGTGTGTGTGCAGTGTGGGGCCGACTCTCTGGGCTGCGACCGGCTGGGCTGCTTCAACCTCAGCATCCGAGGACACGGGTGAGACTCGTTCAAGTCCCGGCAGCACCTTGCGTCTCTCCCCCTCGTATACGCAACACAAACCCACACGCGCGTGTGTGTCTGCTTTTCAGAGAGTGTGTGGAGTTTGTGAAAAGTTTTAAGATTCCCCTGTTGGTTCTGGGAGGAGGAGGATACACAGTGAGGAACGTGGCTCGCTGCTGGTCAGTGCCGCCCTGAGTAATGTACCAGCTTTTACACGCGGGGTTTGTGGGGAGTTAACGTGTGATGCGTTTGTCGTAGGACCTACGAGACGTCTCTGCTGGTGGACGAGTCCATCAGTGACGAGCTGCCTTATAGTGGTGAGCTTCAAACACACACACACCAAAGTCGCTGAAGGCATATTTAAAAGACGCTTCTTTAGATGAATTGCTCCCAACTGGATCCTTTTTTTGTCTTTCCCTCTCCAGAGTACTTTGAGTACTTTTCTCCAGACTTCACGCTGCATCCTGACGTCAGCACCAGGATAGAGAACCAGAACTCCAGACAGGTAAAAGCAGCGAAGGCGCCTGTTTTCCTGTCGGCGTCTGTTGGCCGTGCTGCTCACTGGCTCCGTGTCTCTGCCACAGTACCTGGAGCAGATCCGACAGACGGTGTTCGAGAACTTGAAGATGCTGAACCACGCGCCCAGCGTCCAGATCCACGACGTTCCGTCCGACATGCTGAGCTACGAGCGCAACGACGAGCCCGATCCCGACGAAAGGGGGGGCGAGGAGAACTACACCAGGTGAGGGGTCCCAGCCGGCCGGTGGACGTGTCCAGACGCGCTTTCCGTTACTCACCCTGTTGGTGATCTGACCCTCGTAGGCCAGAAGCAGCCAATGAGTTCTACGATGGCGACCACGACAACGATAAAGAGAGCGACGTCGAAATCTGAGCCCAGCGTCACCACGGGAGATTGATGACTCCAAAAACAGATCCTGAGGAGCTCTACGAGGACGAGTATGAAGAAGCTGAAGGGACTAATAGGAGAGGCTTTTTTTTGTTTTGTTTTTTAAGATGGACACTGGAACATTTTTCTGTATGTGCACGTCCACTTTTACTCACGTCCATTTCCTGCCCATATTGTGATTTTAAGGTTTTTTAAAGAGCAGACGACTACAACGAGGTAAGAAAAAGCAAACCCCCACAGATTCTGGCTTTAAGAGCAGCTAGGTGGATTCAGACAAAGAGAAGCAGTTTTTCACTGCGACTATGAAACCTTCTAATGCGAGAGGTTGTTCCAAGTGCCTGCCAGGACGCACCCATCTCACACCAGCCAGTTCAGGTGGTTTTAAAATCATCCAACTTCTACCTTTTGGATACCTTGTTTAACTCCTGGCATTACTCATCTGAAAACTGCCCAGAAAGGCACTGATGGAGGGCTGCACACTTAACTCCTTCTTTGTGATGAACTTGCTCCTCTTCATCCCTTTTCTTTGACTCATTTGTGGACAAGCTGTGGGAGTTCTGTAGAAGAGGACAAAAACTTATCACAGAGAAGTCATATTAGCAAGAGTAAACTCTTTGCGGCGTCTGCTGTCCTCATCTAGCCAAAAAAAGATTTTGTGATTTTTTTTTTTGATAGTTTGTTTTTTTTTATAATTAAAAATCGTGAAAAATACACATCTGCTTTTGTCCTCTTCTACACCACCAGAGGGAGACATAAAGAGACAATCAAGTCAGAAGCAGAGAAAAGGTTTCATAGACTTTATTTCTCATTCATTTGAAATATATATAATTTCTTACACAACAAACAGTACATGAGGCGAGTACACACCCCGACCTGCTGTCTGAACAGAATTTTCATTTTAGTTTGTGCTTTTAGCAAACCTCACGGTATCGCTCTCATTTTCAACAACCACAAAATGCAGAGTTTATCTTTTAGAGTTTCCATACTAACCAGATGCAGAGCATGTAAGCTAAGCCAGGGGTTAACGTGCATGCACACCCAGTGAAAAGTATTCCTTTGTTTAGTTTAGGTAAAGAGTGGACGGTGCAGGCTACCAGACTAATAAGTCAAAGTGAAAAGGTCTGATCCAAACAGGTACTGTGAGACGATGGCTGAAGTCCTCTCTGCTCTGCAGATGTGACAGTGTAAACTTCAGCAGGTCTGAGCCTCCTCTATTTATTTACCCCTGAAACGGGAAGTTTCGTCGCATACAATACTGCCTGTATTAGAGAGCAACTTTTTAAACGCATCCAAGGCAGAAAACTCCCTTTCCAGCGGTGGCGGCAGCTGTGCTCTGGGGACGCTAATCAACACAGAGGTACAGCGACATAGCATCAGAGGCCGGTGGAACGCAAGTTGTTGGGATCAAAGTGCAGCGGGTTTCCGGGCGGAAGCGGCTGCCAGACAGGATCGATACCCCGAGGACGTTAGTCCTCCTCCTGAGCTGTGAAACACCTCCATGGTGAAATCAGCTGTGCTAACCACGTGAAGAGGCGGCTGTTGTATTCATCTCCTGTTCACAGTGCAGTACCGTGGTTTGCCACCGGACGCCACTGCCTCTTACTCCCCCCCCACCCCCATCCCGGCCTATGAAAGCATTGTCTATGACCCAGAAGTAGCATTCAGAAACCCATCACAGACGTACAGGCTCGGCAAACAGACAACAAGAAACAGGGTGGGCACAGAGATGAGCAGCAGCAGATGAGCCCGAAACAGATGCTCTTAGAGGCTGGACATGTTACATTTACAGCAAAACACCTTTAACTAGTTAAATAATGGAGAAAAAAACAAACCTGTAATAAATTGTGGTTTACAATTAGCTAAAACTGATCTGTTGCGGTGCAACCGATTAGATTAGAACACAGTTTGGTTTGTTAACTCATCTGCTGCTACGCTTCTGCCCGGACGCAACGGTTAACAGAGGCTCTGGCCCGCTTTGCAGGTATGTGCTGGGGAGGGCGGCATGTGTAACTCTACAGCTCCTCGCTCTCATACAGCGGGGCGGTGTGCTGGGCAGGGCTCTCCACGGTCAGAGCAGGAACGTGGCTCAGTGAGGACAGCAGCTTCAGCGTTTTCGACCCAGGGGGGGCCGTTTTCATGGCCGGGGTTGTGCGAGCTGGACGGGGCAGAAAGGAGGCGACAGAGGTCAATAAATACACTAGGGATCGGTGGCCAGTCACACAATTCTAATCTCACGGTCTCAAATTCTCCTCCAGAAAGCGGCACAGGTCTTTGACAAAGAGGCAGAAAGTGGGGCAGAGGGGGAGGGAGAGGCACCGGGAGCGGGCAGAAATCTTAGCGGTTAAACTCAGGCTGAAAATTCCTCTCATGCCAGCCGTCTGAAAATAACCTCAACCCCGCACACCTCAGAACAGGACAGCACAGCACGGATCAGTGGCGGGTATGTAAGCAGCACACGTTTGGAAGAACAACAGTTTACCGTCAGTAACGCTCGTCACACCACTGAAGCCCGTCTTAAAACACTAAATATAAATCACACCGAATGCTGCTATGGAGTCAAATTCCTTCCATCTGCACTGAAACAGGTCAAAGGTCATCTCCACTGTGACTGTTACATTTCTGCTCGGCTCTGAGTAAAAGTGACGATGGGATGGACGCTGTACATCTGTTACAAGAAGTACTCATGAACCCCATTAGCCACTGTTGTGTAAAACCTTCTCCTCTTTGTCTAAACTCACTTTCAGTTCTACTCTCGTGCGCACAGAGGCTGCTTCCACCACGCAGATGGCGTGCTACGTGATACCTGTATTTTCACCCGGTGGAGCTCTCGGGTGGACGTTATCACTCTGAGTGCTTCTTTATGTGAGCGGATCGTGTGTCCCGCTGCATTTGTTTGCCGTGATGTGGAAGATGGAGCTACAGACACAGTAGAGGCGAGCACACGACCGCCTCCACCTGCTGCCCGCTTTTATAGCCGGCCTCTATGGTAACCAAGAGATAGTGGAGACGGGCTCCAAGTGTGTTTGCATACAGGCGAACGGACTTACTGCCTACATCCAGCCTGGCGTTGCACGTGGACATGCCAGCTTCATTAATGGCAGAGAGTGTGTACCAGCCGGCGTCGGACTTCATCACTCTCTCTAACAGCAAGCACTGGCGGCCAGAGCCATCCTGGTACAGGCTGTGAGGGAAAGCTAACAATAAGGCTTCTGAACATTTAAAAAACAAAAACATTAAAGCAGGTTTAAAGTTAGCTGACACACCTCATTCTGTTTGGGTCAATGCGCAGCATGTCTTTATCTTTCTTCCAGAAAAGCTGTGGGGGAGGGGAAGCATCCACTTTACATTCTAACCTAACGGTGTCCCCTTCGAGGGCTCGGGTGTTCAGCATCTTCTGGACAAAGGTGGGTGGGCGGAGTGCTTCCTGAGCTGCGAAGGAGGAGTAATTAAAAAAAGAAAAAAAAGGAAGAGTTGGTGCGGCTGGTCCACAAACGGCTGTGTCCTAAAGTGCTCAGTCCCATTTTTACCTAGCACATCGAGCTTCATGGTGAACCTGCTTTCCCCTGCTCGGTTGCGGGCCACGCACTCGTACACGCCGGCGTGGTGCACGGTGACGATTTCGATGATGAATGAGTGCAACCCCTTCTCGCACACCAACATTTTATGGTAGTCGTCCGGACGAATGGCTTTGCCGTCCAGGTACCAGCAGACATCTGGAGTCGGGAGACCTCCGACCTGCATCGGGAGGGAGGAAGCCTTCCGTCATTCATCCCAATGCTGTTTTTATGTGGATGCCCGGGAGGGGCGGGGACTTAAAGCTTAAAAGTGTTTATAGTGTCCGCCACCTTAAAGTCAATCCTGCAGAAGCGCCCCTCCTCCACGGTGAGGTCTGGGGGGATCTGCAGGAAGCGAGGAGCGTAACATTTCTCCTGGATAGCCGGGCCCTCGCTGCTCTTCTCGTCTGCCCCCGAGTGGTGCCTCCCCCTGCAGAGAGACGTGATCCGTTTATGATCCAACTGTCAATGACAGAATTTTACAGTTAACTGGTGAGCGCAGCGTTCTGCAGCCAGGTTAAATAGATACCCTTTCCCTGTTTCTGTGAGACGTCAGAGGTTTGTATCCCTTTACAGCCATAAGAGTAATTAGGAATTTATGGTTCCACACTGTCCAGCTTTAAAGTTTCATTCCCACTGAAGGTAATCCATTTCTATACTGAAGTCTGTCCAACTCATGTTATGTACGGCCTACAATTAAGAAACTGCTTTGTTTTAAATTTTGCTAGGAAAATAAGCTCCGTTTTAGTGGGAATTTCTGCTTCACTTTTCACTCTAAACAAATACAGACGATAAAGGGAGCCAGTATTTTATTTTTTCGATATAGAGCTGGATGCAACCAGCAGGTTGTTGCTGCTGTGCACGTAAAAAGAACATGGCTGCAACCTTCTTCGTAAGTCTGTGGTTTCATCTCTTTTGTGGAGGAGGACACCACAGGATAAGCATTTGTGCTGAATGGGACGGCTGAGCTTCAGGTTTAAAAATTTCGGCTCACAAAACAGAGACGTTCCCACGGCTACTGCAAAGGTTTTTTTCGCAAGAAGCTTTGAACTTCAGGGCTGCGCAGAGCTACGTTATCAATACATTTCAACAAACTGATTTACTGTAAGACAAACAGAGGGAATTCTGGGTTGAATGGTTCCATCTGGATGACTGACTGACCAACATGAACTGGACTTACCACAGTCCGCCTGTGTGTCTCCCTTCCAGTGAATCTGTCTGTAACAGACAACAGATCAGTGTGAAGAGAGGGAATTGCAGCTTTCAGCTTTGAAAACGACTTGCACTGGGGTCAACAATAAGACAGAATGCCAGGAGGGGGACTGCTTGTGTGCGTATGTATGCATGTGTGTGTGTGTGTCCTGAAACAATTGTCCTGCTTTCACTCTCAAAAAGCAGGCTGGAAATAGATGCTGACAAACCTTGTTGGCTTGAGAGCTTGATGTGTGTATGTTGAAATGCCTGTGTTGTGGGTTTATGCGAGAGACGGAGAGAATAGATGGTGCAAAGCCCTGTGAACGAGAAGCTATTTGACACAACAGGCCTACACACACAAGCACACACACACAAACAGTGAATGGCAGCATGCGGCTGCTGATTACTCTGCTAGCCTTTTGCTTCTTTGGACTTATGAGCCCATCAGGAGGCCCAGAGAGGGAAGGCAAAGCCCTGTGTAGTCATTCAAACCCATATGACTGTGTTAATATGGGCTCTTTCCTCAAAAACATGGAAACTAATGGGTTTTGGACCAGAGCCAACATTAATGTCATCAGTTAGAATGAGGGCTTTTTTTTTTTCATCTTCCAAATGAGAAGGTCACCAACAAAGCAATGGGTTGTTTTTGTACCTGATCGAGTTGTGAGTCTGAAAGATTGTCTTGGTCAAACATGTAAGTAGCGTTGTCTGGACCCAAAAGCCTGCGAGCCATTCGCTCCTCATAGGACAGTTTCTGCCAAAAAGAAGCTTTGTTGTTCAGTTGTCCTTATACACACACAGATAAATATGACTATATTTGAAAGAGGGGGAAGTGTCAGAGGAGCGTGCAGGAATGGGGTGTTAAACAGTTCCTATCAGACTCATTGGCAATCTCGAGTTGGTTTATAGTTTCTTTCTCGTATTTACACAAAACAACTTCAACAGAGTTTTCAGCAGGTTCAACAAAGTGCACACTGAACCACAAAGTGTGACACACAAGGACACCACTGATAAAACAAGGGTGAGAAAAAGACAGACTTGTGGTTTCTTAGGGAACAATAGGTATGCACAGCATCAGTTTGTTTACAGCTGGCACAAAAGACCAATACAGTGAGTAAAAGTAAAACATGGAATAAATCTGGTACAGGGCATAGAAAGAAATGACAAAATCTGAGCATTGTTGAGCCATTATAGAGTGAAATCCTTCTCCAATGGTAGAAGATCTGCACCAAGGTAAAAGGTGGTCTCTCTGCTGCATGTTTCCCAACCTGAAACCCCTATAAAACCTTTGAAAAGAGCTGCAATCTACCAGTGGAAATCACAAAGGATTTAATCTGATTATACATAACTAGTTAAGACACATCATCTTTATTCTAAATTGACAATTCAGCTGATGATGGTTCTGACCGGATCTGCTGTTTTAATCCTATTTTGGACACAGGTGCTCTACATACCTGGCTGTGTCTCCTCCGGGCCTCTTTCGAGCGAAGCTTCTTCTCCAGATCCTGAATCAGGGCGTCTTTAGAGCCCTGAATGTCTTCATCTGTGGAGCGAGAGGAGGAGGGCCGAGGCGCAACTACAGCCTTTTTTAAGATGGGTTTAGGAAGGCTGGGAGATTGCAAGGGAGAAAAAGAAGAGGGGAAGAAAAGGTAAATAGAGCATAAGAGAGGTGACACGGGAAACAAGTTGGACATTCAAAAAACAGCCGCAATTGTACAGAAACTCTTACTCGGATGTTTAGATTTGAATTTGATAGTTTGCTCCTTGAATTATCCCTGACTGCATCACTGTGTACAGTCAGTTTATCTAGCGAACCAGACAGAGGTGAAACCATAGAGTAAGTTAAACATTAACAATCGAACTGGGTTAAAGAAGTATATATTGCTTTTCAGATCACCTCACTGATACCAAATAATACTAATGGTATTCAGAGCGTGTGTGTCTTGTGGTTTTAGAGAACGTATATGTGCACTCACGTGTTTGGAGTCCCTTTGTAGCTGGCGGGAAGAGAGACCACAGCAGGTGGCACCTTGTTTTGATAGTTGGGAGTGTTGGTTAGTGGGACGGAGGAGGACGAGGAAGGAGAGAGAGGGAAATGAGGGAGGGAAGGGGAAACAGGCATGGGCTGTTGAGGAAGAGAAGAGGGAGACGAGGAGGCTCTTGTAGGAAGGAGGGGGCTTGAGGGTGCAAGCGGGGAGCGGGAGGGGGAGATGGAGGACTGCGGCAGGTGGGAGTTTGGAGATAATTTAGAGGTAAATGGTGAGAAGGAGGACTGGGAGGGCAGCACGGAGCAGAGGTAAGCGGCAGAGGCTGATATGGTGTCCTGGTTAGCTGGCAGAGTGGCGCTGCCAAGGCCCGTGGCACTGGGGACCCTGGGGGTGAGGGTGATGGTGGAGCGCATGGTGGTGCGGGGTAAAGTTGAAGTGGAGGCAGGGGCAGGGGCAGGGGAAGAGGAGGCGGGGGCAGGAGGAGTGAGCGGGGGGGCGGCGGAGGAAAAAGGGGGGGCGGCAGAGGATGCTGGAGTGGACGTAGGAGAACTGAGGCTGGATGAGGATGGGGAGGACTTGCCTGTACCATTGGCCTGGTTCTGGACCTGACAGTAGGCAGCTGACTGGGTTTGGTTCTGACTGAGGCTCAGAGACTGAAACTGGGACTGAGTCTGGGAGACGGACTTTGACACCGACTGAATTTGTGTAGTTTTCATTTGACTCTGTGTCTCTGCAATCTGTCTGTCCTGAGTGAGGTTGAGGCTGTGCTGGTGATTCTGGTTCTCCTCGGCCTCCCTCAGTACGCTCTCATAGCTGGGCGCCTGAAAGGCTGGCTGGGACTGAATGAAATGCCTTGGCCGTTCATAGTTGAAGGCACTTGGAGGGAAAGTGCTGGGAGTGAAGGTAGGCAGGTCTGACAGGTTCATGTTGGCACCTCCTGCCTGGGAGGACTGAAAGAAAGCAGGCTTTCAATTTGACTAAAACAAAAGACAACACCAACAATGAACCACATGGGTTGATGGATGTTTTTTTGTTTTTTTTTAAACATGGGGAATGCTCACTGTAAAACTCAGCTTGCTTGGTGTGAACAGCTTGGCTGCTGGGGCTTTCTCCTTTGTTTGTGCTGGTTGTGGTGGGGGTGAGGGTGGAGGAGAGGGGCTGGGTGTACAGACTCGAACGGTCACCTCTGGTGATCTTTGTCCCTCTGAGCTCAGGGCACTCCCCTCGCTGCGGCCAAACGGTTCCTCAGACGAGTGGTTGGCCGGCTGAGGCTCAGGGAGACTGAACGACAAAAAACAGACAAAAAACAAAACAAAAATACAAAGGTGAAATAATCCTGAGACTCAAAGCACCTGTTGGAAAACTGTTTTTTGTTGGGCTTCAATGAAAATGTTTTCCAACTGACTTTTGGATTTTTCAGTAGAACTGAAAGTTACTGGACCATGTGGCAGCATGTAAGAGCTACAGTGTTCTGCACCTGCATTTCTAAAAGGGCAGGGTGTAATTACGGTTCCGTCTTCAGAAACACAACGGAATAATCATTAACAGTTGCATACTGAACAGGAGACAAAGTTTCTATGGAAGAAAAGTGCCTCTGAAAGCTCACTGTATTTATTTGGCTCACAATGATTCATTTTCAGAACCAGCCTCAACCCCTGCAGGATCTGAATCATACTTGAGATGGATTTCAGCTTTGTGATCCTGTCCTGACCTAAAACTGATGACTGTGATTTAAAAATCGGTTCAGCAGCTGGTGAAAGTAGACTAAATAAATGAAGGTGCTTTAATGACTACAGCTGCACTGGATGGAGCAGGTAGCTAACGACTTTAACATGTGTAAAGCAGTTCAGTTGCCATTTCAGCCCACTCAGTAGTTTTCCTCCAGTAATGCCCAGTGTGTCTGGTCCTTTACTTTTCTATTAGGAAAGAATGTTGTTCCCATGACTACCACGTAGTCTGGGCTATGCATAATGACAATAGCAGCCTCTATTTGCCCTCACTCAGTGTTGCTCTGTTCTTGCCTCTGCCTCCTGGGGAGCGCAGACGGTTTCACCTGCCAGCATCAGCTCACCTTCAGCCCGAACAGATTTCGCTATGTTTACGGTAGCTACTGAGGAATTTTAGAAACTGCAAGCACAATATTCTGTAATTGGGCACAAGGTGATATGTACACATATGGACATTCTGGCCCAAGATCAAGAATTTAAACATCTCCCATGATATGCTTGGAATTTATACATAAGAAAATAAAAATTTGCAAAACAGGTTTTAATATCTACTACAATATCTAAAAAACAAGTGATTATATTTTGGCTGAAGTTGGTTCTATAGTTACTTCTGCAAAAAGTAAAGACGGTTCCATCTGCAAACAATGACAATGCCATGCTTCTAACTCTACTTTAAAAAAAATACCCAGTGTATCATTCTGAGGTGCATTTGTTACTGTGCTGACCATCTTAATGAGCTTTATTTGAACCTGCTATGGGGATAAGCTCAATGTGTTGAGGGAAAACAAGCTGACAGCTTCCACCATTTTGGTTCATTGATGGGCTGCATTAGTTTGATTGAGGTGAGGATAATGCCGTGCATATACTTTCCATCAGCACAGCATGAGAGGTGACAAACAACCATCCATCCATTTATGATACCAGCTTATTCCAAGTCAAACAGATGTACAAAATGGCTAATTCACTAACTAATGGACCACGGAGAACAGGTGGATAATTCAAATTTAGCCACCTGCTCACCATGCTTTGCAAGTTACATTTACAGTCAATGTAAAATGCACAGTTTGGATTCTTTCTTTCACACAGTGATTCGAAAGGTGATTCAGGTGTGTCAATGGGGAGAAAATGAGCCGAATCTGCTCTCTGAGTGCTATGACAGCACAGTGAGAGTTCTAGAGAAATTCTGGTCAGACTGCGGAGCCTGATGCTTGCTACCCTTTAAAAGGATGAGGTTACTCTCAAGGTTTGTGGACAAAGAACAGAGATGAGATGACTTTTGATTATCAAACGTCCTTTAACAGCGAGGTTTGAGTGGCTGTTGGGTTTTGTCATGGTGACATAAAAGGTACCTCTGTGTGATACTGAAAATGGACTGTTTAAGAAAAAACCAAACTCCTTCTGACTTAATTTAGCAGTTGTGAGTATCGTAGTGCTGTCCAGGGCGGTGGGGTGTGACAATTGTCTTTATGGTTTTAAAATATGGCCAAAATAAGAAGTACAAGCACAGTCACTTTCTCTGACATGCCTAAAAAAGGGAAAATGTGTACCCTGTAGAAGAGAGTTTAAAAAAAAAAATGCTTCTTCAGACACTTTTAGCTGCACCTGACCTGCAGAATGTCAGTTATGTTGCAGCTTTGAACCTTCCACCGGTTCATCGTTCAATAAATTGATAAAGAGGGAACCGGCACTGGGCAAAATCCTAACAGTCTTCATGTGCTTAAAGCATTACAATGAAAAGTGCACAGCTTACCTTTTTATTATTGTTTTGTCTACCAATGTTTAGTAAGGTTGTTTCCAAAGCGCTTTAATTTTGGATACTTAAAGTAATACCAACTCCAAGTAAAATGGGATTGCGCACTGTATGTTAGTGAGTCAGTACACTTGTGTTGGTGTGATTAAGTGGGTAAAGCTATATTAGTCTTGGTATTTGGACATCAGCTGGCAGGTGCAAACACTCCACTAGTGACCCACCCGCTTTTGAGCGTACACACAAGACTTGCAAGGCATTGTGGGTAGAAGGTATGACAGGTTGTCCTTAGTACTGCGTAACAGAAACATTACGAATGCTAACACAATTTCTTGAACCAATGCAAAATAAAATTTGGTCATTAAAATCCAGCAGTTAATTTATTCATTCATACTGGGTGGTGAGAGAAAGAAACACAGTACAGAAAATGGCTCTGACTGGGGTAATAACAAACAATACTTCAGGTAAACATTAATTTGATGGTCCAGCGTTCAGTTTACCAAAGTCAAATAATTTTCCAAACTAAGTATAATGTTTATCATTTTATTAATTAGGTGCGTTTTTAAAACGATCTATAACCTTAGATATATGCCAACACGGCGGCAATAAAAACCTACTTATTTTCGTAAATGAAATTGGTCTTCACCCAAAACACTCTGTTTTTGTTGTTGGACTGCAAGAAAAAACCCCAAAGCAGCGGATACAGCTCATGCTGGCAAACCTGGTTTTCTCTCCTCATCCAGTCATCTGACCAGTCGACACATAAACTTGACTTTGGCCAAAGCACCTCACCATGACCTTAAGAGCCAGACAGCAGCCAAGTTTGTGAACAACTGTTGTTGTGTGAAACACTGAGGAAAAGAGGGGTGGGGGGTTCTGAAGGACACTGACGCCATGTCTGCTCTTCAAATTACATATTATATCATAGCTCGGGACACTGATATAGAGTGGATGGACCCCTCTCAGCCATATATACATTACACTATGAAGGGTTCACTGGCTTGAAACCAAAGTTTTATGTCAAATTAGAACTACTCATGCAAAATCCAAACAATATTTCCAATTATTTCTGGAATGGTTATCTTTCTGCTAAAAAAAAGTTGCCCAGTTCGTTAGTATGTTTCCATTCAAATATCAAAAATATTTTCCAACATTTATGATATGATGGTAGTGACAGCTTTTCATCAATCATTTTGTAGATGGGCTTTACAAGAGACGTTTATTTGCAGCAGGACGTAAAAACTGCATCACTGCACGTTATAAAGTTTTTAAAAAATGACAATATACCTTTATGAACTTAAACAATGTTATGAACAACAATACTTCTAATATGAGGTCTTTATGAGCATTTTTCTTTGATATGCAGCAGTACTGAAGGTCAAAGCACACACTGGGACGAGCTTTACATCCCACTCACCTAACGGAAACACTTGGCTTAAGAACGCAAAATGTCCCCACAAAAAGCGCAGTGCAGAAACGCGATAAAACAATAACACAATAAAACAAAACAAAACACGGAAGGCAATATCAATTCACCTCTCGTCTTTAAAAATATCCAATCACCACGAGAGTTCATAATGTTCTACCAAAAACCGAGTATTAATTTCACATTTTAATTATTTTCTGAAAAACACATTTGCGTGCAGATATCTCAACGACAACAACCACAACTAATTATTGCAACTGCAAAATTATAGTGAAAACATCGAAATAGTTTTATATTTAAAAATAAGAGCAAATTCTCCTGTTTAACTTTGAATAAGCAAGCAAAAGTGACAGCAGTCTCTGACAGCAACCTAGCTTAATTTAAATGGTCTGACGGCTGTCCCTCCTCCTCGGCTCGTCTGAAACGTCTCCAAACAGATGACACAAGCCCCTAAAATAGACAAAAGTTCACTTTCTATTCCCTCCAGACATAGTTTGACCTTTTAGGGAGGACGTGACATATAAAGTTTCACCGTTACTAACAAGGCGGCAAAATGTCATTGTTTTAAACCAAATCCGTTTGACTTCGGGACACGTCGAGGGGGTAAAACTTGTCGCTCCAAACAGCGGCAATTTGGAACGGAACGGAACGGAACGCCACTGCGTCGAGACGACGCGGATATTTTTCTTACCTCGGTTAACGTTTACGTAGTCCTTGGACCTCGATTATGGCAGTTTGGAGCTGTGAGAAGAGAGGTATCCAAACGCCTCTCTGAGAAGAGGGAGGCTGGACTGCAACAGGTGATAGTGCGCGCTCACGTGGAGTGTGTGCCACGAGACGTGAACGCGCGGAACCAACATATTGATTTTGTGGTTAGGTACACAGGTGACTGTTTACCGGACAAAGACGCAATTTGTATTGCTTTATCACTCAACTATTTTTATCTACACAGTTCAATTGCATAAGTATAGAGACAAAAAAGGAAAAATGTACAGTATCGCGCTTAATCGTTTTGGAACAGCGACCTCCAATGGATGAAAAGAGAAACTGCTCTCGAAGAGTAAACATTTGATTAAAAGGGCTCTCTTCTAAATGTATGGAAAAAAGGATGAAAAAAGTGACTTTATTTGTATTTTTCTAACGTATTTTCCAAAGTAGGAGTCCTGTAATCTTCTTAGCATACACGTACGTTTAATAATTCGAGATACTTCACTGGTTTAATAAAGAGTAGTATAGACGATAGAGAGGAAAGTCCTTGTGCACTTACTCTGCAGAAGGGCTGTTGTCCTCAAAAGGACTGTCAGGCCACTCCGGGGGAGGAAGATTCAAACAATCTGGCAGGACTGGGGGAAAGTCCTCGCTGCTTTTCAGTGAGGACAGAGTCCCCTGCTGGAACTCTTGGCTGTGAGAAACTACTTCCTGCTGGCGAACGGCCTCGACCTCCAGCTGCTCCTCCAGGTCTGCGTGAAGGGATGAAGAGTGTGAAATGGACCAAGCTTGTCAAAGATGTATGAGATGAATACGTACAGGGAGCGGACATCCCTACCATTGTAAACCTCCAATATGGCAGAGCAGGAAACGGTGCCATAAGAGTTGAGGACCACACATTTGAACAGGCCAGAGTCTTCAGGAAAGGCCTCTGTGATCACTAGAGTGCACAGCTCCTCTGTACCAATGAACACAGCATCATTCAAAGTTTTGCGATAAATTAATAGATTGATAAATAAATATGGGAGGTCAAAGATTTATCTCTTTATCCTTTTTTTGAAAACCATTTCCACTAATACTACACACAGTTGTAAAATGATGCTCACCTGGCACTGATGCGGAACTGGCCTCTGGGGGAAAAAAGAGGAGAGAAAATAGTTCTGGGCTGAAATTGCCTCAACAAATTTTTATACAAAAGTTGTCGTTTAGAAACAGGGGAATTTTGTTCATATTTTCATTCACCTTAAACCTTTCTTAAACCAAGGAAGAAGAAAATGCACACAGAAATAGAACCATAGGAAAAGACTTATTAAAGTATCTGACATTTTAAAACAAAACCTCAGAATGTTTCATGATCACTACATGTGATCAGGAGATAGAGGGTCAATTGTGGCATTTATCGGCATATAAATTTACTACTAGCAGGTTTACTATTAGTTTAAATTCCTGAAGAATCTCCTGATTTTGCACATAATTCCAAATACACATGGCAGCATTTTCACAAGTCTGTTTTCCCAACTCAGTTCATTGACTAGGAATAAGTTAAAATGATCATTATTTTTTCTTTTATGAAACGTGTAGTTCTGAATGCTCATAAATGCTCCATGCTCCTCAGCTACGACAGATGTGTCAATCAGTACATGTGAGAAATTTCTCGGTTATTTTATTGGCAAAGTAGCATCTGTCATGAAACTCACTGGTGCTAATTTTAGGGTGTTTTTACCTTCTTCTCCTACACACTCAGCTGTGTTTGAGGAATTTAAGCCAGCTTCTCTGACGTAACTTAGTGTGGTTGTATAACATATGAAACCTACCAACTGTCCCTTAGACATTGTCCCCGCCAGAATTGTGATGGAGGTTTTCAGTACCACTGGGGCAAGTTTTTTACTCTTTTTAATTCCTGTCTTACTTTAGGTTCTGTCCCAGCTGCCTTTAAACATGCTGTGGTCAGGCGCTTACTTGAGAAGCCTAATATTGACGCTACAATGTTGTCCAATTTTAGACCAGTCTCTCATCTGCCTTTTCTTTCAAAGGTTTTATAAAAATTTGTTACACGTCTTTTTACAACTGAACTCTATTTTGAAAAAATTTCAGTCTGGTTTTAGATCACGTCACAGCACTGAGTCTGCACTGTCGAGGGTGCATAATGATACTGCCTTGTCTGTAAATGCTGGAAATCCTACTGTTTTAGTCCTCTTTGACCACACAGCGGTGTTTGACACAGTGGACCATGCAGTCCTCCTCTCATGACTTGAGAATTGTGTACCCCTCTATCTTGTGGGGTACCATAGGGATCCATTCTTGGCCCTATTCTGTTTTTCTTTATATATGCAGCCTTTAGGGGCGATTATAGAGAAGCATAACCACTCATTTCATTTCTACGCAGATGATTTACAAATCTACTTGCCTATGAAAGCAAATGACAGTGTTGTACTAAACCCCCTGCTAAATTGTATCACTGATATTAAGTTGTGGCTTTCAGACAACTTTCTTAATCTGAATTAAAGTAAAACAAAGTATTATTTTCAGTACTCCAGGCATACAGAGTGGTCCAGTTTGGAGTTTGGGATCTCTAGCATCTTACACTAAATCAGCTGTCAAAAACTTGGGGCTTGAAGCATGAAATTTGATAAGCAGATAAGTAATGTTGTTAAAATGAGCTTTTTCCAGCTTCTTCTGCTGGTTAAAGTTAAGCCTTTTCTGAGCAGGCACAACCTAGAAAAGGCCATTCATGCTTTTACTAGTTCAAGGTTGGATAACTGTAATGCTCTCTATGTTGGTCTGAATTAGACGTCCATCTCATGCCTTCAACTTGTGCAAAATGCTGCTGCTTGCTTTTTAACAAATACATCTGGAAGTGCACACATCACTCCCATTCTCTACACATTATGCATTGTGTTTTAGAATAGATTTTAAGATTTTTCTTGTTTGTTTTTAAAAGCTTTAAATGGTCTCCCCCCCAGAGTATTTGTCTGAAATCTTAACTTTGCGGGAGCAAAACCGGTCATTGCAGTCTTCAAATCAGTTGGTTTTAGAAGTCCCAAGGTCATGGTTTTAACGGTTGGGTGATCAAGCTTTTGCTGTTGCTGCCCTGAGACTCTGGAACAAGTTACCCCCTGATATTGGCACTGTTACAGATATTGCCCTTTTTAGGTCAAAACTCAGAACATATCAGTTCAGTCTGGCTTTTAATACGTAGCAGTGGTGTAACAGTTTGATTCTTTGGTTTCTTTGTAACGTTTTCTGATTTTACTGTTTTCTATTTTCACTCTTTCTGTTTTATGATGTGATTTTACTCATTTTGTTAAATACTTTGGATACCTGCTGGTTGTTGTAAAGCGCTATATAAATACATTTTGATTGATTGAAAAAAGGTCCTGTAATTGTTTTATATCTGTATTCATTGTATTTAAGATATTGAACTTAAATCATTCGAGGGAGTAGAGTGTTCAAGATTAGGTTCTGGATTGCACAACTTCTGCACACATTCTGCCCAGACTTGCTTACTCTTTCGCAGTATCCTGAAGTCGTCGGAGTCCAAGATTTGCTCATCCTCTCTGTACCATATGACCTGCAACGGAGGGGTCCCCCTCAGTCTGCACTCCAGGACCACCAGCTGCCCTTTCACTGTCGACACGTCATGGAGGCACTGGGAGGGGTAACGATGTTTGAAGAGGAGAGGCGAAAGGAAATCCTGATGTCAGAGCAGATACCTACAGAAGTATGATGATGTACGCGGAAGGAAAATGACCTCACCTTAACAAATGTGGGAGCCACTCCATTCCCTGAATACGGCTGATTGTAGACGGGGCTCTGAGTCTGAACACGGCAGAATAGATTTACTTAATATTCACAGGATGTAATGTACTGAAAATAATGTTGTCTGTCAAAACACTTTAAATGAATCATCGCAATTGGATGTAATTACCCTCTGAGGGCTGGCGCACAGCGGCTGCACCAGGCTGGAGTGTTTCTGAGAGAGGAAGGTGGAGGAGGAGGAGGATTTAGCGGAGCAGGAGGAGAGCTCTCGAGAGGAGGATGCAGAGGAGGAGATGGTCAGAGACATGGTGCTGGTCTTCTTCTGCATCCTCTGGACCCTGCAAGGGGGTGCACATTAGAGACAAGGTTACTTTTTTTCAACGGTTCCCTTTCCTTTTGGGCCATTACAGCTTCCCTTGAGTGCCTTTTATGAGGTGTTTTACTTACTGTGCCATGTTTCAGGCGCTCTCAGGGGATGTAACAGAGGACCTGCAAACAGACAGGCAGAGTTTCAGACACCTCCCCCCACACACCCATTACCAAGGAGCGGCATCCACCCACATACAAATGCATTTGGTCAGATTAATGAGAGGAAGGTCTCATAAAAAGGCATTCGTTCTCATTCCTGTTCATATTCAAATGAGGTGATCAATGTGGGCTTGAAGTGTAGGCCTCCAACTTTTAAATGAGGGGGTGTTCACATTGAAGCTTCTGTTTGATTCAGAATTCTCCACTTGAGGGAGTAAGACGTACTCATGTGCAGACATCATGGTCAAAAATTCACCAGTCCAAAGCTTGGATTCTCCCACTCAGGTTTTTACTGTCCTGTTGTTGACCAATCTTTTGTGTCAGACATGTAGTTCTTAGATAAGTTGGCAGCTTTTCTTTCACTCTGCATCATTCATCCCAAAGTGTCACACAAAGTGATGGATGTCGGGTCGTTTGTTGCTGCTGATGCAGTCTCATTCATTTGAATCTTGGAAAAGAAATTGAAGTCCCTGGGGCTAGCCTACAAAGTTCTTGAGGGCACGGCTCCCGTCTACTTGAACCCTCTTACAAAGGCTTATGTCAAACCTCAGTCACTCCGGTCATCAACGGAATGTCATCTAACAGTGCCTACACCAAGCTTAAGACAATCCAGACTGTTTTCATGTGTTGTTCAAAGATGGTGGATTGATCTACCAAGCGCTACAAGAACAACAGCGTCCCTTTTTATCTTCAGGAAACTCTTAAAGACCCACCTCTTCAAAGAACATCTCTTATCCTGACTCTTCCCCATACCTCTGTACCCCTCTACTACTCTTTCTGCACTTCCTTCTCTTTCCCTTGCTGCCACCACTGATTCTGACTAGGGATTTTCCCCTAGAGAACTTATTGTCATGTTGATGCTAACTATGAAATGGTGTCTACTTTGTAAGTCGCTTTGGATAAAAGCGTCTGCTAAATGACTAAACATAAAAACATGCAAGGCAGTGGGCGCCAGGTTTGTGGATAGTGTAGATAGTGTGTACTGTGGTAATTTGTTACTTTGGTGTCTCAAAACAAGGAGGTGACTAATGAATATGGAGCAGTGCGTCTCTGCTTTGAGCTGGAGAGACCTGAGGGGCTCTGAGGATAAAAATCAATGACCATTCTTCTGCTTCAGAAGGGGAGAGAGAGGAAGATTAGCCTCTGACATGTGCATAAGGTTCTACTCAGAGGAAAGGATAGTGTGGAACTCCCTCCAGGTCCAGTTCTCTGTTGATGCAGGTGTGAAGGCGCTGACACCGTACTACCAGAGACATTCACACTGACTGACATAGAAGAAGTTTCTTGGTCTTGTTGGCACTGCTGCCAAGTCTGCAAGACAGATGGACACTGCCCCTTTCCCTTTCGGCCATTGGTATGACAATGGACAGATCCACATGTTGGGAATGTCTGTCTCAGTGATCTGAGAAAGAGGTTCAATTTTGCAGAGAGAAGGAAAAACACTGAGCCGTGGATCAAACAGTTTCGATTCAGGCCTCTTTACGATGACTTCATCATTTCCTGAAAGTCTCAGAACCGCCAGGGGAAGGAGCTGGAAGTCCCTTAAAGAATTGGTTCCCAATCCTGTCCTGCATGTTTTCCAAGTTTCTCTGCTCCAGCACACCCGATTCAAATAAATAGTCCATATTTTCAGCTCTATAAGCTCTGCAGGTTGACAAAGATGATGGTGGCAACTGTGGTTAAAAAAATGGCAATACACAATACATAAAAGACAAGCCAGCTAAATGGGGTGTGAAACCTTCCATATGGGCTGAGTCAAACAGTTGTACACAGTTTGTGTCCTAATCCATCTTTGAAAATATACATGTCGCCCTGGATGTGAGAACTTTTTGTCTGAGTTAGATTATGGAAGCAGACACCAGATAAAAAAAATTGCATTAGGAGGGTGGTTTGAATTCTTTCCCAAACACACCCGCCTTTTGGTAACTCAATGGTTTTGGATTCAATCTTTGTTAGAATGTTTGGTATTCAAATAAAGGAGGTTAAGGTGAGCCGAGTACAAAAAAAAGTTAGTTCAGTTTAAAACACGGCTCATACTAAAAAAAGATTGCAAATGATGAACGCCTACATTGACAAAAGTTAAACTATCATTCCAGTGCTAATAGTAATTTACACACTATGTTTATGTTCTAGATTACACTGAATGGACTTCTTACCAAACCTACTTTTAAATTGAGGCTTTTTGCAGACACATGGAAGTAATTTTTCCACTTCAATCCTGACATGTCAGACTTGCCACAGATATTTTCATTTTACTTCTTAAAGTGGCCTTTACTTGTCCACTAGATGTCAGTAATTGTTTCATAGTGTTCTTTTAAAGCATTAATGCACTGATGTTTCACCTGAATGATAGTGTCACACACATTAAGGAGGTCACAGGTGTTCAGCTTGTTCATATTTTACATGGTATAACTGTTAAAGGAAAAGAGCTGTGGTAATATCCTTGTTAAGCTGAATGAGAGGACATTGAAAGTGTGCAAGGCTGTCCTCATTGTCAAAGGTAGCAACTTAGATACATATAAATACTGTTTCTGTATTTGTTATTTCAAAGTTAGAATGCTTTTAATATAAAAATCAGATCTTGGCTGATGAGGTCACACACCTCATCAGTAACATGAGAGAAATCTCCCCAGATTTCAGAAAAATTAACTCACAAAACAGTTCAACGTCTCTCATTCCTCTGTAAGAATCAATTAAGACGTATTATTACCTCTCTCATTTTCATCCTTTTTCTGCAGAAGACTTCCATTTTGTGTAACATTTCCCATGACAATCAAATGAAGAACATCCTAAGAGGAACAGTCAGAAAAGTTTCCTTTTTTTCTTCAATTCATCATGATTTAGAGCCTTTAGAGTGATGCAGTGGAATGCTTAGTCAGCTGGTTCAAAAAACATTGGAGAAGCACAAAACCCAAACCACAGCAAAATAATCATTTGGGAATCTATTTTTTGTTCATGGACGTAGCAAATTTTTATATTTCTAAAATTTGAGTTTTGTACAGAGCAGTTAGATGTAGGTTTTCCATACTTCCTGGCATTTACATTGACTTTGTATTGACAGTCTGTTATTACCTAACCACTATTGGAGGTCAGTCACAACCCCTCATCAGGCAATGATACTCCCCCACGGCAAAGACTACCCCAAGCTGAACAACAATGGGCACTAAGTGCCATTCACACAGCTTGGGGGTCAATTATGCTTTGTTCGTATGAGCCCTTTGAAAATTAAGTTTCTGCATATGAAACTAACTCGGATTTGTTTTCCAATATGCTGTGCAAAGGAAAAGACGTGAAACACCCAAATAAGAGTCTGAATGTAAAATGCCTACATAACAAAAACATGTGGCCTCATGTTCTTTTCTTTCAGTCATTATAGAATTGTCCGTAATTTCTTGACACGAACACAAAGTCAAAAAGTACCAATACGCTGTGCCGCTCACACTGTACACACACACATTGAATGCCTTCACAAGGCCTGCAACTGCATCACTTCCTTTGTAGCGGATCACTGTTTGTCCCCATCATGGTCTTGCTTTATTTAGCAATAGCGTGGGGTTTCACAGCCACTTAAAGGTATGAGCAGTCTTTCATCGTTTTACACCCAAAAGACCCCCACCGATCTCAACCTGCCACCCACTGCTGCTGTGTCTTGGGGCCCGAGAAGGAGCTGACGGAGGAGGGTGAGAGTCAGGTTTCTGGGCTAAATTAAACCCTGCCACCCCCTCGGCACAGCAGAGGCTCCCTGACCTGTGATAAATCTCAGCGTCTCCATTAACAAGGCATAGACGGGCAGCCAGAGGAAGCTAAACCCTCCCTTTAAGCCAACTGTATGAGCTCTATATACAGTGAGGATCACAACGGTTACATCAACAAAGCTTCAACCATGTCTATACAGGAAGATAACAGCTCCTGAGGAAAAAAAGGAAAAAGAAAACAGCTGCAGCCTTAACTACATCTATGTGCCCATCCTGTTTCCCTGTGATAATCGCTGCAAACAGGTGCATTGGTGTGCGTGAGCTTCGACTGAAGCCAGTTGTTGATACAACAGCAGCTGCCGCTAAACCCTTTGTGTCTGTCGTCCCTGTTGCACAACCAAAGGATTTATGATGGCGACAACAGGTTGCATTCACTTACCCCCAACAAATCTGTTACCTGGCAAGGTGGATAGAGACACACAGGGCAGGCGGTGACAGCAAAGTTCAGCCATGACAAACAAACACAGCTTTCATGGAATTAGACGATGAGGCAGGAAATGCTTCAGGTAATGGTTCACTGCAGCAATCCAAAGTTGAATGTCCAAAAGCTGGAAACTTCTGAGGTTAAAAAAGAGTGGATCCTACATTTCCCATGATGCAGCTGCATCAAGTCTTTTAATAAGACTTCCTCTGATTAAGGGATACCAGGCTATTTAAGAATGTTTAATTATGTTCTTCTCTGCTTTCCACAACTGAGATAATCCTGATACATCACTATCACATCAAATTTTGGATTCTAAAAAATAAGTCCAGTCTCAGTCAGCCAGAGGACATGTTAATTGGCAGATTGGCAATAACTGACCCAAGCCATTGGCCCAGGGACCCTATTCCAAGACACAAAAAAGCACGAAGAGATGTGTGACAACCCTAAACATAAAAATGTGAAAGCCTGATAATCAAATGCAGCAAAACCAGAAAAGATCTCCAGAAACACAAACAGACAGAAAGGCTGTGATGAGTTAGAAACTCAACAAATGCAAATGCACAAAATGACCAGAAAGATCACAAAAAAAAACATTATAAGAGACGTGACTGTCTTTGAGGCATAATTCATCAAATAGTCAACCAACCATCAGAATAATTCACAATGACAAGAGAACTGGAGTTGAACTTGACAACTTGATAAGAGCAATCTATAAATAACTGACGCAATTTCATGATATCACACATACAAACTCAGGACATTTAATCTTCAAAATAACAT